TCAAACATGCCAAATATTGCCACCATTTTTTAAAAAGTTGCAGCAATTGCAGACATTTTGGTTGCAAAAATCAGAAAAAAATGTTTTTGTGAAGAAACGTGCCAAAGACCTTTGCATAGTATTGTAGATAAAAACCTGTCTCATGTGTACAGAACTAAACTGAACAACTATTGCTACCGCAGAGATGTCGCTCTTTTAGACATTGACAGCTCATCACAAAAACAGAGGTGTTTTTGATGATGTTTGATGATGTTTTTTAAATGTTAACACTAGTCTGTCTCTCTGTGTAGTTTTTCCCCCACAAACCCTGCAGTCTGTAATGCATTTTTTACAATGCATTAATTTACATTCCACATGGATCAATAATTTAGGGGACTCGCTACCACATTGTTGTCATCTCAAAACTTTGCAAGGTGTATGAGGCCTTAATGCTGCACGGGCATTTTTTTATTTTTTATTAATTGAACTTAAGTTAACTGTTACTGAACTTAACTTGTTTGAGTTGTCCAAACAAACCCATTAACTAGAATGCATGGGATTTCCCAATGCTTCATGCAAGAGAATGGATATTTTAGGAGAGTGTGTTTGATTATTACCTCCTGTGATACAAACGGAGATGTAGTGTTTTGTCACACAGGGAAGTGGTTTGCTATTTAAAATGCAAAACATCTAAACCACGAATCACACTACTGAAAAATGTAGTTAAACTAGTAGTGTGACTGCTTTGAGCTACTCCCGACACTTCTGCTGCTTTAGTATTTTAGAGAGAAACAGTCCTGCTAATCGATCTCAGTGTTGTCCGTTTAACCCAGATCTTGTGTGTTTAAATGTCAAGAACGCTCTGCATGGGAATGTGTTTGTTAAATGAAGGAGACAGCATCACTCACTTGTACCCAGTGGAATTCCTCCCCACTACTAAGTGCTTAGGCTGATCCTCACACATGTATAAATTATGATCGTTCTCAGGAACTAGATCAGCATCATGGAAGATGAAACAGTCCCAGCTCTGGTCTTTCAGAGCCTCGAGGTAGCCCACATTTAATAACTTTGCCCTGTTAAATGTAGCATCTCCAGCCTACAAGACAAACAGACACATATATTATACACACATCGTTTATCAATTATGATGCTTGCGGATCGTGATTTCCTATAGATCACCAGGTGTTTGCCAATACTCTGCTTTCATGACTTAAAAGATACAAAAAGTCTAAGAAATTATTTGAATGAATTACTTCTTTAGGTGTATACTGCCTCAACAGTTTTTACTGACAGAACTTAAACACTACAACACTCTTTCTTGACACGAGAAGAAAAGCATGCACACCTTTCATAACTCCTTGAGTTTCAGCGTCTATCATTTTTACTTTACCTAACCGCTCAAAATGAAATCTGTACAACTTAAAATATTCATATCACCAACATCAGCTGGTGGCACTTATCTCTACCGTTGTTAAAGATGTCATAGGAAAAAAACACTAAACTGCAAAAACAGAAAACTGCCCATAATTAATGCCCACAGGAGTCAGAAACTTGGCTTTCTCAGTCACTGTAATAATGAGAAGGAAGTAACACACTATTGTTGAAGACAACAATAGTTTCATTCAAGTTTTGTGTATATGAACAAAAAGAGAGTCTTTCCAAATGGACTCAATGTTAGGAAAGAGAGTTTAAGGTCACACTTTATTTTAAGGTCCAATTCTCACTATTAACAAACCATTAACTACGACTTTTGCCTCAATAAACTCCTAATTTGCTGCTTATTAATAAGGTAGTTGTTAAGTTTAGGCATTGGGTAGGATTAGGGATGTAGAATATGATCATGCAGAATATGTGCTTTATAAGTACTAATAAACAGACAATAGCCAATGTTAATAATAGGCATGCTAATAAGCAACTAGTTAATAGTGAGAATTGGTCCCTGTACTAAAATCATTTCAACATAGGATTGTGAAATACCCAAATAAATTGCAGGCAATTATTTATATTTGTGTAACAGTAGCCTATATATGTGTCTTAAGTCGCTGGGGTATATTTGTAGTAATAGCCAACAATACATTGTATGGGTCAAAATTATCGATTTTTCTTTTATGCCCAAAATCATTAGGATATTAAGTAAAGATCGTGTTCCATGAAGATATTTTGTAAATTTCCTACCGTAAATATATCAAAACTTAATTTTTGATTAGTAATATGCATTGCTAAGAACTTCATTTGGACAACTTTAAAGATGATTTTCTCAATATTTAGATTTTTTTGCACCCTCAGATTCCAGATTTTCAAATAGTTGTATCTCGACCAAATATTGTCCGATCCTAACAAACCATACATCAATGGAAAGCTTTCAGATGATGCATAAATCTCAATTTCGAAAAATTGACCCTTATGACTGGTTTTGTGCTCCAGGGTCACATTTCAGGTTGGTCTTACTAGTTTTTGCAGAATAGACTGTTCGGTGAACGAGTAACAATGTATCGCAGGCTTTGCAAACATGCTGTTGTTTAAGGATGGGGCAGTGCAAACTATAATGGACCCCGGAGCAAAGCTGTAAGTAAACATTGTCATGCACTGAAGAGGGCGTCAATGCTATAGAACCAATAAAGGTCCCTTTTAACGTCAGAGAAAGTAGGATATGCTCATTAAAAAAAAGAACATTATGTTTGTTGTCCAAGAAACCTTTACTGACTTAAAAATGAACACTGAACGCTCTAAAAATGGCATCAAATTCTAGCAACGAGGATCCTGTGTCTACAGAATCTACCTGGTGAATGATGTAGATGGCGTAGTGAAGCTGCTGCCTCTGTAAGAACGGGTGGAGGTGGTGGAGGAGGTAGAGCAGGTGCTTCTCTCTGTTTCTGTGAGGGATAAGGATGGCCACGCTCTGTCTGGCCTCACAGTCAGAGGGGTTATACTGACCCTCCACCACCTCCCTGTTTTCACTCTCTACCTGCTCTATCGTCAGCGAGGGATCAAATGACAGCTTGATAGCGCCTCCTGTGGAGAAGAACAATCAGAAATCAATAAACACACATGGACACAGGCCCACAAGTAAGTGAAAGGCCCACGGACCAGGTGCAGCCCTTCAATACAGCACCAGCTGGGGCCCACATTAATTACAGGGCCCCATCTTTGGAAACGAGCCCGAATTAGCAAGCAGCTGTGGAAGGAAAAAACAGTGATGTGTAAACATTGACATTCACGTAGAGGTGGTTCCCACATCTTTCTCTGCGCTGCAGCTCCATGGTTCAGATCTGTATCCAGTATTATCAGCTCAAAGGTTTGAAAGTTATTGATATGTTTAAAAGTAAAAAAAAAAATATATATAGTGTGACTTTCACCCAAATTTTAACTATTGTAAACGAAAATCATATTTAGGTCATGACTACATTATTATGTGAACTTACAGCCTGCTGTAAAAACGGTGAGCTGTTTAAACCTATTGTGTGAAATGTTATATGTGACTCTGGAGCACAAAACCAGTATTTGTAGCAATAGCCAAAAATGCATTGTATGGGTCAAAATTATCCATTGTTTCACAAGGTCATTTTTGATCATGAACAGTACATGTGTGACCTTTTAAAGACCATTTAGCCTTTTTGAATCATGTCCACTATTATTTTATTTTTTTTAGCAGCTACCACAAAAGCCACCAAGTTTTGTACTATTCTGATAAAAGTAAAATAAATAAATAAATAAAAAATATAATAATAATCATTTTTTAATCTAAAATGACTAGAGTACTTTAACTGGTGCAATATTTTAGGGTATCTGTACTTTGATTTGTCTATTTCATTCAGTGCTCATTCAGTGAGCAGATGGTGATTTATGCTGCCGAGTTCCAAAAAGGAACAAAAATGCACAACAAAAGTACCATATAAAGTAGTCCATAAGACTATAATCCAAGTCTTCACATCACAATTTAAGTCATAATTCTATGATAATCTTCCCTTTTATTGGCCTCTCAAATCCAATTTGTGTTTTCAAAAATTATTGTCCGACTGCCATGTGGCACATTTAAAAACATGAACACACAGTGAACAACGGTATAGATTTTGGTCTATTATATGACTCGTGTAACAGAGAACAAGTTATACTTTGCAGTATAAATCATAATGCATTTTCCCTGGATAGATAACAGCGGCTGGAACATTGTGCCTTTTGCATTTTACACTCTCAGAAATAAACGTACAAAAGCTGTCGCTGGGGTGGTACCTTCTCAAAAGCTACCTAAAGGGTCTGTAGCTGCCGTCATAGGCAACTCTCATATATTTCAGTTCATAATATGCACTTTACAGTTAAAAGGTCAATAAATAACGAATTTGGTGGAGATCCGCCGGCGCCTTCGCGAGATAGTGACACCAGTCAGCACTTAAACTTCAGTAAGGACTTGTTCAGGCAGCAGCATTCAAGCGTTGTCTTATTCGACCGTAAGTGCCCTGCGAAGTGGACTTCACATGAAATTCCGCCATGATTCCAGTTCCAAGGGAACGTACACGTTACATTCAAAGGGCATTAAAGTGTGCGAGACGTGAATTTATATTGTATTTATTTACAGAGGTATATTATGTCACGTATTATGTTTCGTCTGTGTGTGAAGACAGTAGCGCAAATCCGTGAATGAATGTTCCGAAGTGAAATAAACTTCAACGGAATAAAGTTGAATGGAATTGAATTGAATTAAAGTTGAATAAACTTCAACTTTACTGTTCAGTGCACTGATGTATATATATTCTGTTTGACGAATGGGAATGCGTCCAAACATTTGACTGGTACTGTACTATAATATACACAAAGAATATCGGCCGATATATCGATATCGGCCTTTTTTTACTCTCTAATATCGGTATCGGCCAAAAAAAACCATATCGGTCGGGCTCTAATTATATCCTTACAAACCATACATCAATGGAAAGCAAAGCTTATTTATTAAGCTTTCAGGTGATGTATAACTCTCAATTAAAAAAGAAAATAGACCCTTATGACTGGTCTAAGGGTCACAAATAATTGTTAAAAACCACAGGAACTGACAAAATGTAATCATAGCACAATTAATCAAATTGATCGTTCAAAGCGGCAATTAATCGTCCACTAATGTTATTCTGCATGCTTAAGATGTGTTTTTTTCTTTCTACAGCTTATCTTAAGTGTTTTTCCATTGTTTTAATTTTAGTATAACATTATAATACCATGCATATTTTTACTTTTTTATTTAAAGAAGAAACCAATCCAATGTATAGTTGACATCTGAGGTTTAATGCTACAGAAAAGCAATAAAAGTTTTTCAGTTAGAGTGTTTTCAGCTTGTTTATTTTCATATAAAAATATGGCATGCCGTTGCTTCAGACAATGGTATAAACATCCTGCAATGTAAATCGCAATTAATAATCGCAATTACAATTTCAAGGGAATAATCGACATTTATGATTTTTGTCATAATCAGCCCTGCATAACATATGGAATAGTCATAGCATAGCAAATGCACAGTCATAGCAAAAACTACTTTGCAATAGCACAAATGGAAGTATAAATACCAAAGTGAGAAAAAAGAAAAAAATTTTTTTAGCTTCTTCCAAACACACTTTGTCTGTATTACAGCTCTTCACGAGGCGCACCAGGAACGCTTCGTAATCACAATACACATATATTTTATCATTACAATCATAACATATGTGCTTACAGGCCAGTGTAACCTGTTAGTCACATTCCTCCTCACTCAGCCTGTCACCTCTACGCCCTCCTCTCGTGTTTCATGTTGACACTTCACTGCTTTGAGTCTGTTGTGTGCATTTCATCATGTGTTCTCTTTGTAACAGGACCTTCGCCGGTCCTTGCCACGTCAAAGAATGTATAACGTTTTTGTTTTCAGCCAGTGGTTGTGAATGTGCTGCTGAAGGTCCTGTACTCTACATATCTTTAATCAGTCACTGTTCGTTTGCTTTGTTTTACTATAGTCGAAAGAAATAACATTGTATATCATCCCTGGGTCTGTGGTGTAAGAAAAGAAATGCTATAATGTCTCGTGGGACCCTGGTGTAGAGGTCATTATATGTTAGTGATTCCTCTGAGACCCTTCATGCCACAGTTTTAGTCTGGATGTCCTGTTCAGAGCACTTTTTTAAGAGGTTTGATCATAAACACTCCCTCTCTTTGGTCATTAAATATGACTGATATTGACAGAACGATCAGATTTAGCACTCTTAGGGAAACGTGATAATGTTTTGTAATTATCATTTAAATCTGGTTAATTTTCAAATTGTTTGGGAATATGACTTTTTGTTACGAAACAGGGCATAATGTTCATACTTGTCTTCTGTAGAGGACACCAGGACAAACGGCTGTTAATCAGGCATTTTGAGGAAACTCAACAAGAAATCATAGATCAGTATTCCTATGAAATATGAGATATTCTTATGAAAATGTTGCCACGTTATTACTCCCATTATTGCACTTCTTTTTTCATTATGGTTTTCCCACAAGAGCACACAAATTAGATGCAGTGTATAGATACATTGAATAAAATGGGAATATCAATTTAAGGACATTTTACACACATAACAACTGAAAAACTTGTATTGCTTTTCTATAGCATTAAGCCTAAAATCTGAACTATACATTGGATTGATTTCTTCTTTAAATAAAAAAAGTACAAATATGCATGGTATTATAATGTTATACTAAAATAAAAACAATGTAAAAACCCTTAAGATAAGCTGTAGAAAGAAAAAAAACGCATTTTAAACATGCAGAATAACATAAGTGGACTTTGAAGGATTAATTGTGGCATCCGTAATTGTAATAATGATTAGAAATTCGAGTAATTGTGCTGCCCTAGTAACTGCCAGCACTTTTATATTTTGTTGTATGAATATCTTAACATGCAATATGTCAAAAGAAAGAACACAGCCTCTGCCTTAAAAAAAAAGAAAGAAAAGTTTCATACATTTTTATAAGTTTCATTAAAAAAAGCAACATTTTAAACAAAAAGCTCAGAAAATAATTTTTTTTTTTTTTCCATCAACACCCTTGCACGGTCCTATACCATTTTCTGGATCATCATTTCATTCGTTATGTAATTTTTAAAAAAATATTTTGATTTATATGCTGTTAAATGCTTGATGATTGTGTTATTTTACATATGCATCTGCTTATATATGCAATCGCTTGTTTCTACTTCTTCGCCCGTGTTTTGATCAGGAGATTCAGTACTCTTTCAGAAGATGTGTAATAGCGCCTCCTACAGTATAACAGTGAAAACACAGAAAGCGGGAAAATTCCATCAGTGCTGTATCATAAATCATATGGCGAGGAAAGAGTTCATCTTTGTTAATGCTTGTTAATAAAATGCAGCAGTTCATTGTTTTTGCATTGTGCACTAACTAATATTAACAGATACAACTTCATTTTTATAATGTAATTAGCAAATGTTGAAATTGACTAAGAATAAAAGATGCTGTACTGCAGACTTAAAAGTATTTTTTTCTAGTAATCCTAAACACCTTGATTAGCTGGTAACCATTCACCATTAGGATGGTAACCATTCAGGAGCAGGCTTGGCTACCCCTGCTCTAACCCAAGGGTAGGTAACCCAAAATATCAACCTTTGTGCGTCTACCATTGAAGAAAGCATAACGTTCAACTTGGATCACATATGCCATTATAGCAGGGGTGTCCAAACCTTTCCCTAAAGGGCCACTGTCCCACAGAGTTTAGCTCCAACCATTATTAAACACACCTGAAGCAGCTAATCAAGGTCCTCAGACTCACTAGAAATGTCCAGGCAGGTGTGTTGGAGCTGGATTGCATTATAGCCTTGGCATCACTGAACTGCTGTTAGAGTTATACAATAGGATACCACAGAAATGAAGGAGAAGTGCAGTAAGTGTAACCTGCTTAATTAGGACTAGAGATAAACTCTGCTTGAAGGTGGTGCTCCAGGAGCAGGATTGGACTCCTCTGCTCTAAGTCTTGACTCAAGTATACTTGTTGCTAATTCATGCATTTGCTAACCTTTATGATCACTGTACTCCCCATCCGAGCACTCTGTACACTCGAAGCAGCATGTGGGTTTGCCATCAATAATTCCTTTTCTGGTTCCAGGTTCACACTCCTCACTACAGTTGGAAAATGGTACCTGGTAGAGGAAAGGGAAACAATGTATTGTCTCACGCAATACAACAAAGGCACATTTGCTGTAACCGACTGGATAAGGATGTGATCCTTGGGCACTCCATTAAGTTAAAGGGGTCCTATTATGCTTTTTCACTTTTTCAAGTTAGTGTGTAATGTTCCTGTTTCAGCATACAAAAGATCCGCAAGGTTACAAAGTGCACTCCAAAGGAAAACCCCTTTCAAGAACTACAACAAACGGCTCATTCAGACTATAATGTGCTTCTTCCGGATCTTGTGAAGTCCCAATGTCAGTCATTTAAACCATTCCCGCCCACAGAATAAACAAAGCAAGGCTTGGTTGAGCTGCACTAGAGACCATAAAAGAGCAAAGGTTCTGTATGATCCTGTTGTTCATTTACATTCTCAGAATCGGGCTCGAAATTGGTATGGCAAAATTGACAGCATTGTTAATATTTACAACTGAGCAGATGAAACTCGTGGTTATGGTAAGGGGCGTAACATTTCCGGAACATGCTATAAGCAGATCGCCAGTCACAATGCACTGAGCCAGCTAACCAATCAGAGCTCATTTCGAAAGGAGGGGTTTCATCAAAACGGGAATTAGACGGCGCGTTTGAGACAGACGGTGCTGCAATAAGGTAAAATATGTGAACAATAATGCGCTTTTAGAACAATCAAGCATGAAAACCTATTCTAGAACACCCCAAAAACGAAATCAAGACTTACACGAGCATAATAGAACCCCTTTAATGAGAGCTAGGCTTTATAAATAACAATCTAAGGGCGGACACACCAAACCGACGCCAGAGAACTAGTGTCGAGGAAAGCCGACTGCATGTCAGGGCAAAAAAACGTTGCACTAGAACACACTAAAGCCGACGGAGCCTGCGTGAGAGAACATAACTCTCCCATACCAGCAGGTGGCAGTAGTCTGTATTCGGCATTCAAGCAGTAGCCGGGTTTCCATCCAAAGTTGCGAATTTAACTTATGCGCAAAATTGGAATATCGCACGAAACATTTGCGAACAAGCACCGTTTCCATCCAACGAGTCAAAGAGAACAAAATCATCACTTCCTGATAAACTGGCACTATACATTGCTAAGAAAAGTAGGAGAAGCTACTGAATATAATAATTTTCCTATATAATAAATTACTTGCACCTCAGAACGAGCAGACGAAACACAATGAATGCGGTTATTGCTTTCGGAGGTGGATGCTGCTGTTTGGGAACGCAGTCGTTTAACAGTTCTGGGAGGCAATTATACAGAAATACTTTGATGACAGACTTTGCTCGGGCATTTCCGAATGACCATATAACAACATTTCAGATGCTGTGGAACAAGATCGGTCCGCTGGTTAGTCAGGATTTGCCGCCCCATAGCGCAGAGTCACATTACTTTTTTAATGCGCTTGGAGGAATTTATTCGCAAAATGCATTTCCATCTCCCAGTATATTCGCATTAACCCTTTTTCGCACAAGTCAAAAACCACCTCAAGCGAGCGTAAAAACTTTTTTGTGAATTAAGGCATTTTTATTCAAAATTCAGGGTTTCCATCACTCGATTCTGATGCGATACTTCAAAATGCGCATAAAAGCCGGGTGATGGAAACCCAGCTAGTGAAACCGGAAGAGCTAGAACTGTGGATATACAAAGCAAGCAACGCTTTTAATGGCGTTGTCAGCCCTGGGTCTTCTTCTTGTGATTGGTTGGCTTTCGTCAGTCGCGTTTTTTTCTCGTGCGCTCATTCGCTAAGCTGAATAGCCAATCTGAGTTCTCTTTCTCGCCGATGAGCTCTGCCGCCGATTCGACATGCAGACGCGGCCGTAAAACAGCTGACGGTGTCCAAATAGAGCAGGGGTGTCAAACTCAATTCCTGGAGGGCCAGAGCCCTGCAGAGATTTGTTCCAACCCTGCTCCAACACACATACCATGTAGTTTTCAAATAAGCCTGAAGGACTTGATCAGTTGCATCAGGTGTGTTTAGAGTTAGGGTTGAATCTAAACTCTGCAGGACTCCAGGCCTCCAGGAATTGAGTTTGACACCCCTGGAATAGAGCCAACGGTGCAGAACACACTACGACCGACGCTCAAAAAACACCCGACATTGCTCGACCGTCGGCTTGGTGTGTCCCGGCCTTTAAGAGCCAAGCACTCTGGCTACTGTGTGGTCTATGCTTACTCACCTCAGTTAGACGGCCGTTCCACAGTATTTTTGTCTTGTCAATGGAAAGTTTGGCTCCGTTCTTGTTATGCATACTGTAATAACCAACCTCCTTGAACACAACAGAACCGTCCTCAGGTGATCGATGCCAGTTTATAATGGTATAATTTGCTGAGAGCTCACTGCCATTGTCAAAGCGCACCCTCTCCCCTATGCTGTTTATGAAGTTGAGGTGTCTCAGTTGTTTCAGAACCTTTTAGAATAAAAAGAGGCATGTGAATACCATTTTGTCAATATCCTAGAAAATCAAGAGGAGCAGAAGGGAACCAACAGGAAATTATATTATTATTATATATATATATATATAAGTAGCATGATAAGTACCCCACCTGCCATGCTTCAACTTTCCTAATGTCTGCACAAGAGCCATTAGCAAACAATCCTTTTCCAGGTGTGCAGGTAAGTATGTCCTGAAGTGCCTGTGCTATGGCATAAACAGCCACATACACATTGTAAGAAATCCGTAGGTGCGTGTAGTCCAGGTACGGTGTCTCCACACTTGCAATGTCCTCTTCACCAGTGCACAGAGGTCTGAAACTTGTACTGCCGTTTTCACTGTCCTCATTCCTTGGACTATCTTCAAGATAGCAGTTAAATGTCTCCTCCCAAAATTCTCGCACAAACTCATTATGGCTGGACTTCTTTGGATGCACCTGCTGTAGGAATTCTTTAAAGCCGGGTATATGGCCAGCCCTCAGCGCAAAGCCAATCGTTCCTCCCATGACATCAAGGTACTCTGGCTTGGCAACCAGGCTAGAGCTGGCCCACGCCTCACTCGCCAACCAGATACGGTCTGTGACGTTTCGCCTCACCATCTCTTTAACGAGTGGCTCGATGTCCGGTCCGCTAGCGAACACGGCGATGACTCTTGCGGTTGAGTTCTCGATGCGGTCTGCCAGGCGGCGGATCTCAGCTTCATCGATGTATTGTGAAATTAAAACATTGAGATCAATGCAGATGTCCCTATGAAACATTTCATTCTCAAACTTTTCGATCCCCGGGCGACCATATTCATCGTCAGAGGCGATGGCAATCACCCAGTTCCACTGGAAGTGATCAATGATGGCAGCAATGGCAATAGCCTGATACTCATCTGTGGGGATGGTTCTCATGAACGATTTGTACTGATTCTTGTTGCTCAAAAGTCGACTGGACGAAGCGTAGCTGATCTGAAAAACAGTAGAGGAGAGATACAATCTTAAGACAATTTTTTTTTCAGTGTATTTTTTCATGCAGCACTTAAAATGACAGCTTACAGTGACCATATCTGTCAAGCACCAAAAAGGACAAAAAAAAAACAAGTAGCATAGCCTCTCTCTCTCTCTCTCTGTTTTTTGCCTTTTTGGAGCTTTTCTACAGAGCCCCACACATGGCATGCAGGAAAAAGATAGTAGGCTAAATCGTGTGCACAATTTACTATTTTGTTCCCTCAATTTGCTAAATCGTGCACATGATTTATAAATCGAGGGAACGAATTAGTAAATCGAGGAAACGAAATAGTAATCGTGTGCATGATTTAGCAAATCGAGAGAACGAATTAGTAAATCGAGGAAACGAAATAGTAATCATGTGCACGATTTAGCAAATCGAGAGAACGAATTAGTAAATTGTGCGCACAATTTAGCAAATCGAGGGAACGAATTAGTAAATCGAAGAAACGAAATAGTAATTGTATGCACGATTTAGCAAATCGAGGAAACGAATTAGTAAATCGAGGAAACGAAATAGTAATTGTGCGCACGATTTAGCAAATCGAGAGAACGAATTAGCAAATCGAGGAAACGAAATAGTAATCATGTGCACGATTTAGCAAATCGAGAGAACAAATTAGTAAATTGTGCGCACAATTTAGCAAATCGAGGGAACGAATTAGTAAATCGAAGAAACAAAATATTAATTGTGTGCACGATTTAGAAAATCGAGGGAACGAATTAGTAAATCGAGGAAACGAAATAGTAATTGTGTGCACGATTTAGCAAATCGAGGGAACGAATTAGTAAATCGAGGAAACGAAATAGTAATTGTGTGCACGATTTAGCAAATCGAGGGAACGAATTAGTAAATCGAGGAAACGAAATAGTAATTGTGTGCACGATTTAGCAAATCGAGGGAACGAATTAGTAAATCGAGGAAACGAAATAGTAATTGTGTGCACGATTTAGCAAATCGAGGGAACGAATTAGTAAATCGAGGAAACGAAATAGTAATTGTGTGCACGATTTAGCAAATCGAGGGAACGAATTAGTAAATCGAGGAAACGAAATAGTAATTGTGTGCACGATTTAGCAAATCGAGGGAACGAATTAGTAAATCGAGGAAACGAAATAGTAATTGTGTGCACGATTTAGCAAATCGAGGGAACGAATTAGTAAATCGAGGAAACGAAATAGTAATTGTGTGCACGATTTAGCAAATCGAGGGAACGAATTAGTAAATCGAGGAAACGAAATAGTAATTGTGTGCACGATTTAGCAAATCGAGGGAACGAATTAGTAAATCGAGGAAACGAAATAGTAATTGTGTGCACGATTTAGCAAATCGAGGGAACGAATTAGTAAATCGAGGAAACGAAATAGTAATTGTGTGCACGATTTAGCAAATCGAGGGAACGAATTAGTAAATCGAGGAAACGAAATAGTAATTGTGTGCACGATTTAGCAAATCGAGGGAACGAATTAGTAAATCGAGGAAACGAAATAGTAATTGTGTGCACGATTTAGCAAATCGAGGGAACGAATTAGTAAATCGAGGAAACGAAATAGTAATTGTGTGCACGATTTAGCAAATCGAGGGAACGAATTAGTAAATCGAGGAAACGAAATAGTAATTGTGTGCACGATTTAGCAAATCGAGGGAACGAATTAGTAAATCGAGGAAACGAAATAGTAATTGTGTGCACGATTTAGCAAATCGAGGGAACGAATTAGTAAATCGAGGAAACGAAATAGTAATTGTGTGCACGATTTAGCAAATCGAGGGAACGAATTAGTAAATCGAGGAAACGAAATAGTAATTGTGTGCACGATTTAGCAAATCGAGGGAACGAATTAGCAAATCGAGGAAACGAATTAGTAATTGTGTGCACGATTTAACAAATTGAGAGAACGAATTAGTAAATCGAGGAAATGAAATAGTAATCGTGTGCACAATTTAGCAAATCGAGGGAACGAATTAGTAAATCGAGGAAACAAAATAGTAATTGTGAGCACGATTTAGAAAATCGAGGGAACGAATTAGTAAATAGAGTAAACGAAATAGTAATTGTGTGCACGATTTAGCAAATCGAGGGAACAAATTAGTAAATCGAGGCAATGAATTGGTAAATTGTGCGCACGATTTAGCAAATCGAGAGAATGAATTAGTAAATCATGCGCACAATTTATTTATTTTTTCTTGCATGTCATGTGCGGGGCTCCATACTTTTCAGACATTAGCCACTATGATTTCAAGATTTCTCCCTTGTGATTCTACAAAATTCTCCTTTTGTGTTTCATATAAATAATGGATATAGCTTTAGAATTATGTCATAGTGAGTAAATTACAGAATGTTTATTTTTAAGGTCAACTATTTTTTTTCATGCACTGGCCATGTTATGTGTTTCCAATAACATGTCTTGGAAATATCCCCCTAAAAAAGTACATTCTATCTATTTGCGCCTGTAGATTACATTTCAATTACAATATATCTTTAAAGGCTGTTTTCCCAAAATGAGGGAAAATTGTATTCTTATCTATATCCTAAAGTTTTTAGAGAGGGGTTTCATATATTATTTGCCTGATTTATATAACATCTAAACAAGGTGAAAGTATTATTATTATTATTATTATTACTATTTATTACTCAAATTACTTTTTTTATTATTATTTCCAATTTTTATTCAATTTTAAAACTCATCAAAATGACACAATGGCTGTATCCAATGTCCAGATTTCTGTTCTGGAAATGTATGCAAATTAGTGCATATTTGATTAAACCATGTAATTTGCATATCTAATCATAACATTTCAGAAAACTTATAATACAAAACAATACTGTAATACAATACAACAGTACTGTGATTAATCAAGTTAAGAAGTATGGTGATATGTTTTTTGTTTTTTTTACCCTATTCACCTGTGGTGTCTTGCCTTAAAGCATTTCTTAAAGGTAAATGAGATAATCAAGATGAGTTTCATACAACTGTTGTCTTTAGAAACATTCAAAATAAATTGAATTATACTGCAATTACCAAGCATATATCACAAAAACTATGTCAATGAAACATTCAGTGATGATGTTTCATTGGCATAGTTTGTAAATTGCAGAACAACCTGAGGAATGTAGAAGAGGCCCAGAAGGTCAGCCACGGCTGTAGATACAGCAGATCCAGATGCTCCAACCACTGCAATGGTTGATGGGATGTTCCCTGTGCAGTTACAGAACTCATCCAAGTTGAGTGAATCGATCTTATTCTGTGCAACAAAGCTTAGCGACGCCTCCAGGGCTTTCGAGACAGTGTTACATGTGTCAAATATACGGTAGCCAAGCGTGATGTTTGGAAGAAAAGCAGAGCTGTTGTTGATTTCCTCTATAGCAAAGATCATAGACTGCAGCCAACGGAATCCACGAAAATTATATCTGAAAAAAGAAAGGGTAGTTCAATAAGAACTCACACTCCGGGTCATGCTTATCATTTTATCAAGTTAAACAACAAGGACTAGTCCTTAGTTAGAACTGACTAAGCGTTGATTTGACACGACGAAAAAAAATATGATTGTTTTTTAAGTTAAGTTAATAAAACAAAGAGTATTGGAGTAGCCTACATTTTACAAGAACATACGGTTTCAGTCTTTCTACTTAAAATTTTTACCTAATTCAATGCGTTACTTGACGTTTCTTTGTAATTATTTGTGAAATTTACTAGCAGTTTATGAGAGAAAATAGTTTCTACACCAAATTTGCTTCAGTGTAGGTTGTACTGTTGTTAACCTAATTAAACACTTAGTCTTTCCAAACAAATTTGTAAAGACTAAAAACAGGACAACCTATTGAACAGACTGTATGTCTCTTCCTTACACCATTTACCTCAAATTAAATATGTCATTCTATGCCGATTCAAGTCTTTAAGGTTGGATGGAAAAAAATGTTTTCCCCCAAATACATAAAATGCATAAATCTGTGACACACGATTGTGTGACGAGCTAAATTTACATAAAAATGTACCAAACACTGGCCAGGTATAAAACTATATCTACACTGAAAAAAAAGATAATGCATGAAATATAATCAACATTATCTGTGAAGTTGGGGTTAGTCACCAAAATAATGTGTTAATTACTAAAGGTCAGCTGTGTTGATATTAAAAGTTGGAACCACATTTGGAGAAGCTGACCATGTTGTGTTTATACCTGACACACTCAGTTGATTCTGGCCTCGCTGCAAGATCCTGGAAAGACTAAAGACAGGACAACCTATTGAACAGACTGTATGTCTCTTCCTTACACCATTTACCTCAATTTAAATATGTCATTCTATGCCGATTCAAGTCTTTAAGGTTGGATGGAAATATTTTTTTTCCCCCAAATACATCAAATGCATAAATCTGTGACACACGATTGTGTGACAAGCAAAATTTTCATACAAATTTACCAAACACTGGCCAGGTATAAAACTATATCTACACTGAAAAAAAATAATGCATGAAATATAATCAGCATTATCTGTGAAGTTGGGGTTAGTCACCAAAATAATGTGTTAATTACTAAAGGTCAGCTGTGTTGATATTAAAAGTTGGAACCACATTTGGAGAAGCTGACCATGTTGTGTTTATACCTGACACACTCAGTTGATTCTGGCCTCGCTGCAAGATCCTGGGCTTTGGATGCCACCCCAAAGTGTATTGGGAAAAGCCCCCCCAGCAGTATGTCACCTGTCTTCTGGGCCCTCTGGTGTGGGCCATAGATCGAAATTACACCGCTGAAGCCCAGCAGAACCAGGTAATGCAAGTAAAACCTCAAGGCAAGATGAAACCTCATTGCTTCAGATGGTTTCTAATGTGGTCTTCATGGAGCAAGCTTTGGAATTTCCACTAGTTTCGTCAATTGCCTCTTCTGCCAAAATTATCTTCCTTCAGTTGATGGAGTCAACAGACAGTATGCATAGAGTGTCAGACGGACCAACACATGCTTGAGCGGTGAAGGAGCTGGCGAGTCCACCCACATCGCTGATCACCTACGGGTCTATTTGCGGAGATGATGATTCTTTTGTTCCTCCCTCCAGTAAATTCCTCTCCTGTTCATTATGTGATGGATCGAGGTAAACACGGCCCATGAAAGTAATTTACAGTAGATAGTGTTCGGTTTTTGATTCCCCAGACAGTGTTTGGCTGAACGCTGAATATTGCTGAAAAAAATAAATAAATAAACAGGACACTTAAGACAGTAAAAACAAGTAATCTTCATATTACAGTACACTCTCAGAAAAAAAGGTACAAAAGTTGTCACTGGTGCAGTACCCTTTCAAAAGCTACTAATATTAGGCACTAATACGCCCACTTTTCCAGCTGCCTTTGTTCCGTAAGTATTTTTTTACATTCCTTTTTTTAAATTTTTTTTTAAAGTCATCGTTTAAGAGTTATAAACCATGAACCAAACCAACCGGTGAATCACAACATTACAAACTTTGATTTGAAGCAAAAGAAGTATTTGAAAACTGGACAAAAAGATGAAGGTACTTAATGTCTCGAAGAAGGGAAAGAACTACAATCACATAAAGCACTGTGAATGACAATCAGATTAAAAGCAATAACCTAAAACTATTGATAGAAATACAAAACTACTGATTTAAAGATGTTGATTTTATATATACACACACACACAGTGGAGATCAAAATTAGAGAATTTATGAACACTTGATTTTTCAGAAATAATTTAATCATCATTGTTCAAAATCTGAAGGAATTTTAGTTGTGGCTATACCATGCTGTGTTTTACAAAATTACCAAGGCACTTCAACAAAAACCCTTTATTTTGTGGAAAACAAAATTAGAAAACAGCAATGATCGTAGCATGAAGAAAGAATACAATTAAAATTTCTGAAGGTTACAGATGTCAGAAAAAAGCTCCTGCTTTGAATGACTTCAGCACATCTGCGGCCGCAGGACATAACAGTTCAGTAGCTGTAGTGGGTTTCTTAGCCATAACTTTGTCGCCAAGGATTTTCAGTCAGGTTTAGGTCAGGACTCTGGGCCGGCCATTTCATTATTTCAATGTTCTTGGCTTCAAGGAACTGCTTTACCCGTTTTGCAGTGTGACTGGAGCATGGTCTTGAATGCAAACTGCAGGCTGATTGGGAGATGCTTGCAGGGAAGGAGCCGCATCAGCCCTCTACGAACACCTTGGCAATTGAATCGCCATTGGCTAGTAAATTTTTTTTGTTTACTCGCCAGACTGATAAATATATACATATACATATATACACACATATACACACACATACACATATACATACACCCATATACACACACACATATACATACACACAAACATATACATACACACATATACACACACACACATACATACACACACACACACACACACACACACACACA